CATTCATTTATGCATTCATTCATTCCTTTAGTAAGTGTTTATTTAAGCCATGTGCAGGTACAGTGCTTGCTCAAATTCACCCAGCTAAGAAATGACAAGGTCAGATCTAATTCTAAAGCCCAGATTCTTCCCACTCTACTGTGTTAAACTAACTGTGTTAAACTGCCATGATGTGCTGCCTTGTCACAGGCCCCAGAGGAACACAGTCAACTGAGCATGGGCTGAAATGTCTGAAACCATGGGCCGAAATGAGCCTTTTTTATAAGCAGATTATCTCAGGTGTTCGGTATAATAATGAATGAGTGAATGAATGGCAAGGAGGAAGTGAATCCTAGAAGGTTAAGTAGTGTGACCCCCTTGGAATCCATAGCCTTGCTGTCCCCTCCCACATTGACTCTGGTCTTGGCCATGTTGACCAAAAGTCTTTGACAATCCTTGTGCCTTGGGCTTGTTCTTGAGAACTCCAAGGCCACCTTGAAAGCAAGTCTGGGGCAGCCTACTTGATGCTGAGAGTCATGAGGTTGGCTTGCCCTTGTTATCCCAACCGACAGCCAGCATGAGACCATTGAGGGCTAACTGACCACAGAATATGAGGGAGCCCAGCAGGACCAGTCAGAAGGTTAACTGCCTAGGTTGGAGGACCAGAGAGCTCATGGAGGGACAGGGAAGGGTTGTGACTGGTCCTCTACCCTAAACTGAGCTGGATTTTACCCTGGAAGCCAGAAATCTAAGGACCTCCTCCTGACTACATTATGTCTGGAAAGAGACCCTACTTCTATATAAGATCACATTCATAAGAAAGGGGGCTTAGGGTTTCAGTGTATTTTTTTCTGGTGGATGGAAGATGGACAACCACCTAGGTGAAGGCAGGTATCAAGGTAAAAAAACCTGGAACAGCATGAAACATTAGGGATCAGCAAGTCATCTGTTATGCTGGGCTCACTTGTATTCACTCATTCATTCCACAGACTTTAGGAAGACCTACTATACGCAAAGTCCTAGGGTAGGCCCTGAGGATGCAGAGAATTTTCCAGGGCTTGGAATTTATATTCTTGGACAGTCACTCAAAGACTGACACACTCAATAAGTCAGACCAAGACATTCAGATATCCTACAAGATAGCCTGAACCTCTGCATTCTCCACTTCTGCAGAAATTATTACCTGATTACTTACAATCACCTATTAATAGCTTCTTCTCCTATAAGAATGACCAAAAGCTAAAATGCAAAAACAAAATTCAAAATATTTTAGTGAGTGTATGTTTAAATTATAATTGAAAATTATCATTTTTCTTTGGTGATCTAAGTCCAAACATGAAGTTGTGTGATAACAGCATTTCTGCTGAATATCTAAATGTCAAAGACATGTTGTAGGAGCAGTTAACATCTTAATCATCAGTTGCTCACTTGTTCACAGGAATAAAGAGCTGCATGTAACTTCAAATTCATACTAGCAAAAATCAAGTAGACCAAAAGTGCAAATGAAAATCTTTTTCGAAAGCGCTATCTAAAGTTTCATATTAAGTGTATTTATTTTTCTCTAGGATTAGGACAGATTGCATTGGGAGCCCAGTCTTTCATAAAGAAGGGGGTGGGGAATAGAGTTGGGCCTTCGTTTTCTCACAAAAGGCACAATGTGAAGCACATCTGTGAACATTGTATAATTTGTTATGTTCTACAAAGAGGTGGGTTTTTGTTATACACATACCAGAGCTATTTGGTACTGTTTCACCAATGATCTCTATTCAGGTCTAGAAAAGAAATTGGCCTCAGAAGAGTGAAAGGAGAGTAAATTTTTCTTTAAAAATTAGATACAGATTATCACTTCAAAATGCAGGGAGGGATTTTACAAGTGACAGTGTACTGATTAGCTTTCCAATGGACATCCAGTCCTTTATAAAACACATACTAGCCGTGGTCAACTGTGACCAATGTGGTTTATTATCTCCAGAAGAGTTGAACTGAGATTACCCATCTAATGTAATTGAGAAATGTTGGGTGAACTTGAACTGTTTCTTGGACATGAATGACCCGAGAATTTATTTGATGAGACAGGAAAGGCTGAATATGGTAACTCTGTCTTTGATGGTTTGGTATAGTCATTCCTTTAGGTCATTAGCAAGTTTTTCCTATTTTTTGTTATTACTCTTTTTCTAGTAATTACATGAGCAACCTAATGGAAAAAAGGGCAAAACAAATAAATTCTGTACAATATCTTTACAAAAAATATTTACCATTATTGGCAAATATTCATGATAGTTTTATATAGTTAACTCTTTAAAAGGAAATATTCATTTTCAAGTAAAGAAAGTGAATGCTAATTAAGTTGTGAAAAAAATAATAAATGCACTGTTTTTTCATAAGATAGTCCCTAAATCATTTTTAAAATGTTATCTTCTGATTTTGCCAAGTAAGAAAAAAAGGCATCATGAAATTCACATCTTAATTCACCAAATGAACTCCTTTGCATATCCTGGTAAACTGGGCAGTGTGAATTCTCTCATTGGTGACATCTCCATGAAACATGTATGATAACTTTAACAATAGTATGGCATACAAGGTGGCATTAGATGACACTGCTTTCTCTTCATGGGTCTGCTCATATCTAAGATAAATTCTCCTTTATTCCCAATGACCAATGCTAAGGTATATTTTGTATATATAATATGTACACATATTGTGTATACATCTTTTTACTGTATTTAAATACTATATATTTTAAATTATTCACAGAACCTCTAAGAATAAATTATAAAAATCACACTTCACGCTACTAGTGACTCTTTAAATGGAATTTGTCATTGAAACTTTGTCATTAAAACAGAAAGGCCTTTTGGTTGTGCCCATACAAGCATAATAAATTGTATATGTTTGTGATACTGAATGACTCTTGCCCATATGCTGCACTGCAAAGCTACATGAATGAGGCATTTACCAAATCAAGCCCACCACATTAAACAGAAAAACAATCTTTATTCATGGTAACTTATCAGTTTCAATTAATCACCCCTAACAATGGAAATTCTGATGTGTTCAAGCAACTTGAAAGCAACAGGTCATCTCCAGGGCAGCCATGTTGTGTCTTTGTGCTGATGGTTTCAAACAAAGCAACATCTCCAATAAATATACATACATATACATACATACATGTGCATATATATACATATAAATGGGCAGTTACAGCTATGCCCTGCAGTGCCAACAAAATGCATGTGCACTGTGTATGATTTTTATCATAGCAAATGTTATTGTTTTCCTTCAAGTATTACTTTTTGAGCTCTGCAAGTTTAAACAAAAGGAAAGAAATTTCCATTGGATGACCATCCTTTCAGTTTCTGTGCTGCTATGTGAATAGCATTGTGCAAACCATTCCAATGGTTTTGAAAAGGGGTAACCATTGGTTTGATTTGGTTACACGGTTTAGTAAAGAGCTCCCTCCCACTGCCTTAGGGTCTGTGAAAGGTCTGTGACCTGTTTAGAACTGCCAAGTGAAATGTCATGTCGCCCCTCCCAAATGGGAGTATCTGCATTCATTTGATCAGTATAAAAAATGATTGGGGATGGTGAGATCAGTGCTTTTGAATTGCAATTTATAGCAGTTTACAAAAATGCACATTGTTGGAAAAGAAAACATGGAAGTGTTTCTTTCTAAATTGCATTACCTGTGAAATGTCATTAGTCTTTTAAGGATATTTACATCCTTTTTTTATAATTTGGGAGACTTACATCAACTAAAGAAAATCAGAATTATGTCACCTTATGGTTTTTTAACTTATATTTTGGGTTTTGTCATAAAACTTATGGAAAACAATGAGTCTGAGTTCTTAGGATGAGCATGATTTCTTATCAGGCCCATTGACTAATTCCCTAAGATTATCTTTGGTAATGAGTTGCATTGGTAGAAGATCTCCCATTTTATTTCCCAGAATATGGAGGAGACTCACTTGTTGGTGAGTGGCTTATCTTTTGATTTCTAATAGACACCGAAATCTCTAGCATACTTACTCCACCAGGTTTCCATTATTTCTTCAACATGCTAGTAACTCCTTGTGAGATGAGTGCTTTGGAAACTCTGATGCCTCTAGACCATAGACATGTAGATGCATCATCTACGTATATGTATAGTTTCACAAATTGTTTTCCTTTAAGTATGTAAAAGATACAGGAACAAAAAGTTTAGGCAGGCTGTTCAAGTTCACAGACATTTAATTCATCCACCTGGGTTCTATGGGATGCAGAATGCAAACCCCTTTATACTTTTTCCAGAAGTATTGAAAGCTCCTTCTCTTCATTTTTGGCATCAAGTGCAATTGGACATTACATTGAAGAAATCTTTGATTAAGAAAAGTTACCTTGGGAAAAGGCCCTCAGGGCTTCCCTGGTTGATAGTTGACTAAAAAAAAAAAAAAAAAAGAAGAAGAAAGGCCCTTTTTCAGAAAAGACTTGACCCAGATAGACTCTCCAGCATTCCACTTTGAACCTCCCAACTATTGAAAGCCGAGGTTGTCACGTTTTTATCTTTGTTCATGTTAAGACTTGGAATGACAGCCTGGCTCTGTGTTCCCCTCTCCCACTGCCCCGGCTCCAAGTGTCCACATTGACACCTACCGGTGACCACAGGCTGCAATTCTTTGTTGCCTTCTCCACGCTCCTGGCTTTCACTGGGATTAGCTCAAAGCCTTTGTTCCCCTTCAAAGCTGGAACATCACATCCCATGTTGTGGCTTTCCTGTCCCAGACCCCCAACGCTTTCCTCACAATTTACACACCAGGTAAAAGTGCCTCCCTACAGGGGCAAAGAAACTAGCCTGGGACCAGCCAGTGCTTTCCTAGTCCCCAATTTCAGAGCCCCTGCCAGTTTGGTTTTCTTTCCTTCACGTTTCTAAATTCCTATTTCATAGGGAGGGACAATGGAAACAAATGGAAATTTAAATTTCAGAGTTAAAATCCCTGGATCTAAACACAAGACAATCTTTTTTTAAAAAAAAAATTGTTTTACAGTGGGTCGTGTTTCTTCCCAGAGGGTCAGTGACTGGCCTTGGTCACAGGCAGGTAAGACCAGTTCTATACTCAACGAGGTCAATAGAAAAAGCACTCTTTGAGGAAGAAGGGGTGGGAGTCTATTTTGAAGACCCAGGAGAGTCGAACCACCTGATTTATCTACCCCTCCCTTTATCCCCAACCTCTCTTCCTGGTTACTAAAGAGATCCCCAGCTAGGCTAGATCTGGGAGGAGCCCCTAAAAACATTCAAAGTATTATCTGGGAAAGGAGAAAGGGTGGAGAGTGGATGAGGTCTAATAAGTAAAAGTTTATAGCTGTTCCTTGTTCTCATTTTTAGTGAATCGAGGATCCTCCAAAGAACCTTGGGAGAAGATATGGGTACATCATCCTACTCCCCCACCCCCAATGAATGATGTGGACCCAACTGGGCTTCTTAGAGAGACCACAGAATAGAGGACCCTCCTCATCCTGGATGGCATATAATGCCTGCCTCTTTAGCCAGAAATACTGTCTCCAAGGCGTTTCTGAACCATTGGATTTCTCCAGATTAGGAACACTAACTCAAGCACCGCAATTTAGAATTGGAACACGCCTTTTTCTCGCATCTTTTCTGAGCCCCAATGAAACCTCTCCTGCGCTCCTGCAGGGTGGGCTGGACGCACAGACCCTGAGGGGTCACCAAATCCATTCTAGTCGCCTGGGATCAGAGGTGTGCCCAGAGCCTAGGGGTGGGAAAGAGTGGACTTCAATTAAAATATTTGAGGCATTAAACTTGTTTTGACATTCTCTAATTCTTCCAGTCTTTAACACAAAATGAGAACTACTTGCTGCCTTCTGACCAGTGAACTAAGTCCTTTGAGAGTGAAGCATACACATGGAGGGGAGTTTGTATTTCCTTTGGGAAAATCCCCTATTCTCTTCATTGGCTACACGTGGCTCCGTATCATAAGGACTCCGTAAACAAGTCTTTAATACGTGGGGAAACTTTTTGAAGTTTTGCTTTTTGGTAAGTATGAAGATCCAGTGCTGAGTTTAAGTGTTCAGTCTGGAATGTCAGGTGCCATTTACTGAAACGCCTGGTTGCTTTTCTCTGTGCGTAATGTTCAACTTGGTCTTTTCTCTTCTCCTAAATACAAGTTCAAGTTCGGGCCTGTCATTCTGTCTCTAAATTGTAGGCTCCAGATTACAGATTTCTAAGGCTATTAAGTCTCAAGAAATGTATTTGTGGTAGTTGTCACATAAAGCTGACCTACTCTGGTCCAAAAGAAAGCCAGAGAGGCGATTTATTTGTGCGTAAAAAGAACAAGATTTAATTGGAGAGAGACGTGTTATTTTGAACGCAAGTACATGGGGTGGCATAGCGCTGTGGAGCATTATTCGAGCTTCATCTACTATGCACTATATGCCACCGTCTCCAAAGGAGTGTTGCCCTAGAAACTTGTTTTAAATCTGCTGCTATATATCAACACCTTGTTTTAGCAGTCCTTGGCTGAATTACAGTTACACAGTTTGGCGCTTCTTTCAAATTTCCTCCCATCAGTTTGGCTAAAGAAAGGAATTTTTCTCCTTTAGAAATGAATTGGCTTAATTAGTAAGTAGATTAATGGCAATTGCTGGTGAGTTGGTTTCCAGCAGAGTTTCACCAGAGAGGGTTAATCGGAGTCAGGTCTGGAATCTTTCCCAGAACTGGCTACCAGCCATTTCCACCAATCAACCTTACAATTATCGAAGGAAATCAAATAAAATTTATATTCTCTGTGTCATTCTCCTGGACCAAAATTTTCTTGGAAGCAGCCTCCTGGTTGGGTGCAGTAGAGACTTTTATTTCAGAATTTTAACAGAAATTTTAAGCTTCATGATTTATCTGAGTACCAACATAGAATTTCCAGTGGCACAATAAGTGTCTCCACAGAACACTGGGCGCATTGGAAACAGCTAAGGTTCTCAGTCAATTTCAGGTTTAGAGAACTTACAACCCCCCTCCCAAGTCCCGCCCTAAATCTGTTACACACCAGAAGCCTTTCAAAAGTTTTGCTGTATGATTTGCAGCCTTTTCACTTATTTTTTCCATAGTGATAAAAAAATGCATTCATAGTCTAACTTGCAGCTGCATTAGTCTTGCAAAAAAAAAAAATCCCTGCTGAGAAATGCATATAATAGGAAAAACAGATCGGCTGGACAGCAGTGTAATTAATGCCAGAAAGGGCTGAGGCCGGTTTCATAGTTTGTCTTTTGAGGATATCAAGACGAGACCTGGTGAAAAATGACGCATGCTTTAGCATTTCAGAAAGCTGGCAACTGGCAGCGCTTTTCCTTTTTTCTTTGACTTTCTGCCGCAGAACAAAGAGGTCGGCAGAACTAGCTAGGTTGTAATGAGTTCTATGTCCCTAGCACATTAAGTGCATCATGGAAACATATTGTATCGAAATAGTTTGGAGGAGAATACCGGGGATGAAAGAGAATGGGTGCTTTGATCAGCTCCCTGGGGTCCTGAGCGCGCACAGACTGACTTGCAAGGAGTTATTCAGCTCCAGCTAGACACACTTACAACACCATTCAAAGAAATTTGCATATCTGTAATTTATCACATTGGTCCAGAACATTATTGCAAGGTAAATAAAAGTTAGTTGAATTAAAAAAATCAATCATCTCAGATATAGAGAAACTGTGAAACCAGTCTTGCCATTAAAACCAGAAATAAATATGTCCATAAAATATGACGATTTAGAAGCTGGCTTAATTTTTAAAGTGTCCTTAGAGCAACAGGTTATGCTCTTACAAAGAGAGAGAGAGAGAGAGAGAGAGAGAGAGAGAGAGAGAGAGAAGATAGAAAAAGAGGAAAAGAAGAAGAGTGGCCACAATTTCTTTGCCTTAGGAAGTGTATTTGCAGCTTCCCACTGGAATAAAGTCACAAGGTTGAATGAGATGCATGTCACTATAATCAGCCTGTGACTAGCAGAGAAAATTAGAACATACTTTGAAGAGATATGAACGATGGCTTAATCTCCTTGGAATCTGCAAATGGTAAGGCTAAATCTCATTTCTGCTCCTGTTGATTTCATTGCCAAGCCCTATTTGCTGAATTTAGCTCCAAAGGATGAAATGTCCAGAGATCCGGTCAATAGGAAAACTTGCTTTCAAGTGCCCCATGAGAACAAGTGAAAATTTAACAGGCAGGCATTGTTCCGGTTTTTAAACAACTCAGTTAAACAGCAAACAAGAATCTTCAACTTGACCTTGGAAAAGGCTGTGTGCCTACAGATAATCTATCAAACAACTCTGGATGACAATGATATATTTCAAAGTATTGTCAGATGAAAAGATTGATAAATTTGCTGCTGCAAAGAGAGAACTTTGGAAACAGGCAACAGGCAATTTAGCTCACCAACTCCGCCTCCTCCTTCTCTGTCCTCACTGCCCCATCCCCACCCCTCCACCCCCAGCCAGCCTTGGGGCCAACTCTATAGAAGAAGGCCAGTAAATCAGCACTGTAATATTTCTTAAGGGGCACGGAAAAGCTGTGAACAGTACTTCTCATATTAAACGCAATATTTCTTTGCTTTCGTGGGGAACAAAAGTCATAGCAAGACGTCTTTATGGCTAATTCAGTCAAAGGCACATCTCTGGTTCCCCCCGCAGAAAGGTCAGTGTCGTTGTGTTTGGTCCACCGAGGGGGTGTTTTCACAGTGAAAACTGAGCCAGCTGTCCCTGTCATACCCTCACCATTGGGGAGCGCACACTAGCCATGGTTATTAGGCACATTCTACACCTGCAAAATATACCGATTTCCAAGACTTTTCAAAACACCCTCCCGTTCTCATGCCCCCTCCTCTTTCTTCTACTAAACTTTGACAACACAATTCAAGCCCTGGATGAAAGCACTGCACGCAAGAGGAACGCTGGGGAAGGGGCACTCTCGGCTACTGTCTCATGGTGTCTATTGAGCAGCCATCAAAGAAATGAGGCGTCAAGTATGTTTTCAAAAAGTATGGAAAAACTTCCACACATTTGCTAATGCCACAAATGCAAATTGTTGAGCCCTAACATGTAAATTATATGCACCGGTGTTAGTTGTGGGGTTGCAGCCTAGCCTCCTTCATTTAAATGTAGATCATTTTAAAAATTCTATTCGTATTTGGAATGACACTGATCAGCGTCAGAATTTCTTGAATTCTCCCATGCCAGTGCACGCCTATTTTTAAAAATCCGAATGCCAATTCTTGCCCCACTGGGTTGTCTAATAAAACTCCTAGAAACATCCCCTGGCTGACTTATCACCAGGATCCAATTCCAAAGGTTTGCACTTCAGAGGTAGGTGGTTAACTAGCTATTTAGGAGAGTATCAGTGACCCAAACAAGGAAGGAGACAAAAGAGAGCCTGTGCTATCGCTGAAGAGAAATTGTAAAATTGTAAGCAATTCAGAAAAATTCTCTTGAGAATGAGAATGCCCCCAGTGCCACTTCCTCTGGAAAGCGCGAGCATAACTAGCTTTCTCAGAGTGGGGTGGGGGTGGGGAACCAAAGATTTCTATCTGGCTGCGGGGGGCGGAGAGGGGGGTGGGAGGTAGCGAGCTGTAGAATTGAGAGGGTTTAATTAGTCTGTGGTGTGGCTCTAATCCGGATCTTCGTCTAATCCTGCCACCCAAACTGCAAAGAGCTACATGAGAAGTTCTTAGCTTGGGCGAGTTACAGGGGTGGTCCGGGACGCCTTGGGTTCCCGGGACACAGGCAGGGTTGAAACACATTGCTTGTCATAGGAGGCAAGAAGGGGGTGCCTCTCACTAACAGGGAACCCTAAACTCTTTCCTGGAAGCTGGGGGCCTCCACACAGCCCGCTTCCATCAGGCAACGCGCGGCATCTCTCCAAAGCAATGCCAGCGCAACAGGTTGTTTGGAACAGGTGCGTACCCTCCATGGAAGGGGCTAGCATTATGCTGCGGCGATCCACCAAGGGCTAAGAGTCCCCGAGAAGCAAGGGTACATCCTCAGGAGCCCGAAAGTGGGACCGGCTGGAACCCTGCGCCCCGGCCACTGTAGCTGATAATGCTGGCGCCTCGGCCGGGAGGCAAAACGAGTTCGCCACAACCTGCGCCCCAGGGCAAGGGGCCCTCTGCAGGCGGCCTCCTGAGGGCTTCCCGGCTGGCCAAGGGGTGTAGTTGCCCTGGGCACTCTTAGAGGAAGCCTGGGGTCCCAACTCCTGACTTCATTCGGGCCGTTCACCCCGCTTCCTGCTCGCCGCTTCCTGGAGCCCCTCTTGGAGACTTTCATGCGCAAAGATAGCAGAACTACGGAGAGCGGGACACCGGGGCAGCTATTTTTAGCCTCGAGAAAAACAGACAGCGCCCGAACCCCGAATGCCTGGGGAGCAGGGGCCAGGCGGGCCTCGGGGGATACTCATCTGACTCCACCCCGGCTCTCCGGAACCCTGGGAACGTCGTGCAGTAGGCGGGGCGCATGCGCGCCTCCAGCCAGGGTCCCTCCCCGGCCTGCAGAGTTTGGGGAAAGTTTGGCTAGGTTTGCCTTGCCGGCGGCGGACGTCCTAAAAACTGAGCTGCCCTGGGTATGAGGCCAGGAGCCCCCCGAAGTCCCAGGAGCCGGCTCGGCAGGGTCCCAAGAGCTGAAAGACAGCAGAAGGTGGGGAGAGGGAGGCCTTTTGTGTGTGGCACAGGAGAGTCACTTGCGCACAAACGCAGCAGCGCGCTCCGCCGCCGCCTCAGCCTCCTCCGCTGCACCTCCGCCTCTGAGGCGCTTCATTACAGCCGAGCCCTTCCCCCGCCTCCCCCCGGCCCCGGCCTTTGTTCGGCTTGAAAGTAATGCTGTGAATTAAAAGAAATGACAATATTTTCTATCTGCTTGAAAGTCCAAGAGAAGAGCCCTTGAGCTTGGCAAAAATCAGGCAAATCATTCATCATGCCACCCCGCACCTGTGGTCTTGGCATTGAAAACCCTCCAGACCTATTCCTATTAAACTTAATTATTCCCCCAAAGCACACAATGGTTGAAATGGAGCAGGTTGGAGTCTGTTTATTGGTGGTAAATGTTTTTCTGAAGATCTTCTGAATCTCATTGTTAGCTCGTTGTTTGAGCCTGCCCTCTTTCTTTCAGACTAGAGTAGCCTTGGACTTTTCAATTTTCAATCGTAACATCTGCTTAATCGTACGGATCAAAATATGGAGACACAAAACATATGTAATGGTTGATTTGTTAAATCCTGGTAATGAGTTATTAACAAGGGAAAACAATAGGCCAGGATGGTGAGAGCCTTATGGTAACAGAGTCACTTTATGTAACGCCTGACGTTTCCCTTCTTGATAAATGGAACTAAGGTCTGAGCGCCAGGTGATAGCAAGAAAATCAATGTCTTTAGGGGCCAGCACTGAGACTTTTTTCTATGTGAAAAATTAGGAGACATAAAATTTAATTGGCTGATCAGGAGGGGGGGAAACAGTGGTCTTAAGTTTAATTGCCAGTAGGCTTAGCAAGGGAGACAAAACAAGATTTGGGCCTGTTTGTTTGCTGCACCCCAGCCTCAAGTCCAAGTGTATCATTGAAAATGTGTTTTATTATAACACATGTCATGCTTTACAGTTCCCATATTGTGTAAAGACAATAGTTAATGGTACATTAAAGACAGGCAAACCATGCCAACACGTCTTGGAGACATTGTAAGGGCCTCTCTCTTTGCTTGTTTTAGGCAGCTGCAGCCCAGGACCCAGAAGCACAAAAAGAACAAGTTTGAAATACCAGGTGCATCCTAGAGGACCACGACAGGGATTGATATGTTATAGCCCAGGACATGAACCTAGCAATAAAGATATCATTTCGATTGTCTGCGGCTTCCACGGCCTGTAAAGCCGGGAGGCCCTGAGCAGCCTGCTTTCTGGCAGGCCTGTCTCTCTCCCTGGGTTTCCCCATCTCCCTGGGCCAAATCCGAACACCTGTTGGCCAGACCTCACATCCCGTCGTGGGAATCGTTTCCTACCAGTGGTTCCAGATCTCAAAAATGCATTGGTTGTGGAATTATTTAGGACCATTCCCACAGGCTGCAGAAGGCTTTGGAAAGGCAGTGGGAGGGGAGGGTGAGGGAGAAAGGGAGGGTAAGGGCTCTTCCCAGAGAAATTCGCCAGGGAGTACTCAACTGGTGTTTGTTCAACCTCGCAGCTGGTACTCGGTGCCACTGCAAAGGCCCATTAATGGAAATGGGATGAGTTTATGGATTTAAGAGACTCCACACCCTCTCCACCGAGGGGCGTTAATCCTGGTACTGGCAGATGAGCAGTCCTGGGAATCACTGGCAGCCGATTTCACAGGAGTTCCAACAAGGCCTTTTATGCGCCCTGCTCCCAGCCTGGGGTAACAGACTCACTCTGTTTCCCACCTACTTTTCTGCCTTATAGGACCCATAGTCTCCAGGATTCAATATGTTAGGAGAATTTTTAAGTTAATCCATGGTGCTTGGCTTCCATGGGAAAGAAGAGGCTCCACCAAGGAGCTCCATTCCGGAGGCTACCCAGCTGAGGGTGCAGAAGTGGCAACCCTTTCCTCTTTTTTACCACCTTCCCCTCTCCCCCCCAAGACACCCCACCCAATTTCACCTCAGAACTGACAGCCCCCTCAGGAGAAACCAAAGGCAGAGAAATGGTGCCTGGGCTTCCCAGCCAATGAAATAGAAAGTCACCTTTTGGGTGACACATATTATCTTTTAAGGCAACAAGAGGACCTTGACCCTAATGTCCATGTGAAATGTAAGGGAGTGAGAAGAGAGATAGAAGGGGCTTTTATTGGGTAGAATCATTGGCACTCTGACACCAAGGCAGAGCGACACTGCAACCTGGGAATGGAGAGCAGCAGGATGGGTCGGAATTTGAAAATTGGTGTGGAGCAGAAAAGGGAAGGTGTTGGGTAAGGAGGGCACTCCTCTGCAATCTCCATGCTGGGAAGACTTTATCAAATCCTCTCCAGCACTCCCTCCCCCAACAACCACTAGCGATGGAGTCTGGACCACTGGGGAGTGATTTAGCCAGCTCTCCAGTAGAGATCATAAAATGTACCCTGTACTGGGTTTGCAGTTTCTTTATTATGCTAAATGGACAAGGGCAGCCAGGGCAGACTTTAAACTCTTTCCCCTGGTGGTCCCAGACTGGATTTCAGCGCAAGGGCTGATGGGTGTTCAGAAGAGCAATGCTGGTTAAAGGCTCTCCATAGCTGTCCAGCAGTTTGACTTACTCAATTTTATTTTGATAGGCAATTTTTTTAAAAAATTGGAAGAAAAGTGTTGACTTAGAAGGACTGCTGAATACCTGTCAGTCAAACTGCCCCCACAAGGTCTTTCCAGTGCCAGACTGTATTTGCTGGCCAGAGATGCCTCAGGCCAGAGGCTCTCCAGCCTGGCGCTGCTACAAGGACAGCGGCTCCTGCACCCAGTGCAGCTCAGGCCTCCCTGACGCCAAAGTAGACTCTGAAATGATACGTTTGTTCTGCTTTTACTGCTGCATTTTTTTTTAAAAAAAAAGAATTGCTACACTAGAATGAATGGATTATGAGTAAATAAAAAGAAACTGTCAGTCTCTTTGAAGGTTGTGCTTAAAGGGACTTGCCAAGTCAGGGCACAAGAGTGACAAGATAGAGACCCTGGTGTTTTGCATGCTCAGCTCGGCTCTTCCGCTTCATCTGCACCGCACTAAAGGATGTGTTGATGCATTGAATCACAAAAAAAGTGGCACGCAAAATAAAAGGTGCCACATCACAATGATTGTAGTGTTTTAACTACGAATTGCCACATCACCCAATCCAAGGAAATGCAGGTCTACACAGGCAAAGAAAATGATACAACACTTCCATAACTTATAATTAAGTTGAAGTCTGCCTAACATTTGACTTTCTAATGAGTGTAATGAGATTACATGCCTGATGGAAGCATTTGTGCAAAAGCAACTTTCGTGTTTAATGAGGCCCTAATACAGGACAAAATTGAATTATTTTCTCTCGTTCTCAAATTCTGTCTCCTGTGTGAAATCATCTTTTGGGGGGAGGGGGCGGAGAGGACGCGAAGGCTGGAAGGGGTGTGAGGGTCCATGGCCAAGGCTCTCCTGGGAGCCTCGCGACCCAGAATCTCCGCGTGTCTGGCCAGGCCGAGCTGCGGGGTCGGGCTCGCGGCCTCGCTTTAATTGCTCTTGGACGAGGGCCATGGCACCCGCGGCGCGCGGGGAACCCCTCGGTGGGTCTGAAACTAGGTTAAAGCAATTAGCATGCTGCCGGCATATTGTCCTTCGGCAAGGCCATGGGTACTGGGGGCGGTTCGCGATTGTACCTTGACTGACCAGGGGGACGCTAGGCTACACAGGCGCACCTAGCCTTTGCCGGGCCTGGGCTGGGCCTGGGCAGCTCCAGGACCGAAGTTTCACGCAGAGGTGCGCGCGTCCTACTCTGCGCCTGTGCGCTCGGGTCCTCACCATCCGCAGCGGCACCACCGGGCTCTGCCCACGGGTGAGAGCGCTGGGGGCGGTCGCCGAGGTGGATGGTAGCTGGACCCCAGGTTTCCTGGGTCTTCCAGCTGAGCGACCCCTGGCCTCGCCTCCGCTTCTCCCCTTCGCTAGGGGGCGATCCTGTGCCCTCCACCCCAGGCTTGTCTTCTCTCCAGATCTCTGGCGGAGGAAGATTAGGTTCTGGTGTAGGCAAAACGAAGCCAGTTTTAGAAATAACCTAGTTAGGGCTGAGGGTGTCGCTCAGTGGTAGAACGAAGATGGCCTAGCATGTGTGGGATTGTATTCTATCCGCAACACCGGAAAAAAAAAAAAAAGTTGTAGAGGTGTCAGGCTGAGTAGGCTCCTTCCTCCCTTACCTCGAAAACCCTGAATTTTGTTGGAAGGCCCCCACCCCAGGTATTCTCCGGGGTCTCAATACAACCGCCTGACCCATACTCTCTGAGAGGAGTACGCCTGAGTTTCAAATATCTGATGCTGCAACTGCCAAAGGATGAGGCAGGGCAGCTCAAGAGCAACCCATCCTCCAGCCATGGAAGCAGAAAGACCCCTTCTCTTTCCCAACCCAGGAATTAGTTCCCAATTTCCACCAGACACAACGCTTTCACTTTTATTCATTATGATTAGGCAGAATGAGGGTTACTTTGGGTAAACCAAACATGACCTGAGCCTCAGCCTTCCTCTCTGAAAAATGGGAATAACAAATACTATCACCTATTTGCCCCAAGGGTATCTGAAAGGTAGGATAAATGTTACTATTTGGGTCAGATGATACAGAAGAAGGGCTGTAATGGCGAAATGGAGGTCATCTAAATAAAATGCAGTTTCCTACTTGATAGCTGTCTTTGAGTTTCTGATTTAGTTTTTACCAAGTTAATTTTTTTAATGATACAGTTGCCCCCATCATGTACTAAGCAAATAACTTGTAGAAAAAGGTGTCAATAGCATTTATTAACAACGCTTAGAAATAAACTGTATTTGGCAATAAATAAGCATGAAGTTTTCTGATCAGAATTCTTCCAACAATGCAGAGTTCTGCTAAAGGTGCTGGGGAAATCATCCGCTATTGCATATCTTTAGAAAATCAGGATAAATTATATAAATTATATATATAAAGAGATCATCTATTTCATTAACTCAACAGGATAATAAATAGATAAATAACAGTTGATTGCCATTAGAAAAATTTGATTCTTAAATTACATTTACATTATAGGTATTTACATGTACAATATGCACAGAGACATTATCAGATTCTCAACCAAATATGAATTTTCTCAGGACACAAATTCAAAGGGCGGTTCGTTTTCTATGTTGTTAAATGAAGATTTGCTGTTGAGTTTTCTGGGGTCCTCTGGGGTCCACACTTTGGCTGTTCGGATAATATTTTGCTCTTTGAGTTGTTTTTCATCAGTCCACGAGAGTGAGTGTCCTGCAAGGGGAGGGAGGCCATAATCCGGGTCACTAGGTGAGGGAGGCCCTAGGGAGGTGAAAAGAGAAAACAGACTGTGAATGTCCAATTATATTCCCAGAGGTCCCTTCCGACTTTCAGGATGCCCTCATATGCACCTCGACTGAACAGGAGTCTCACAGTCACACTAGAACCACCCTCTTAGCCCACCCCTCAAGGCCCCAGCACCCGCTCCCCGGGATCTTAGGAGCTGCTAGTGTGGCAGGGACGCTTGTCTTCCCAGCAGCAGTCAAAGCGTCAGGTGTGTGTGTGTGGGGGGGGGGAGGTACGCGAGAAAGAAGCTTGAGTTTCAGGTTGCCAGTGCCCACCGACCATCCGCCCGCCCATCGGTCCTTCAGTCTGATTGTCAGTCGGTTCGCCCTGCCTTTCCTGGGCCTTAGCAGGCCGGTATCAGTGCCCCTCTCTCTGACCTGAGATGCGGACGCACTTACTGGTGCCGCGATGGCAAATGATGACTTTCTGGGCCTGGCTGCCCGGGCTGTCCCCGCCCAGACGCCCGCCGCCGCCGGGTCCCCCGCATCCGCCTGCGCCGCCACCCCGCAGCGGCAGATCCGCCTGCACGAGCTCGCTAAGGAAGTTGATATAGCCGATGGCCAAACGCAGAGTGTCCACCTTGGAGAGGCGCTTTTCGTAGGGCAGCGTGGGGATGTGCGAGCGCAGCCCCTCAAAGGCGTCGTTGATGGACTGCATGCGCCTTCGCTCGCGGACGTTGGCCGCCTGCCTCAACTGCTGCAGCTCTGCCTCGGAGCGCACACGCCTCCTCCGCCGCGCTGCGGCCGCCGCCGCGCCACTCAGGCCACGCAGCCGCGCCCCAGGGGACAGTACGGCAGCCTCGGCGCAAGGATAGGCCAGGCAGGAGGGCGGCGAGCCTGGCGAGTAGGGGAAACCGCCGGGGGGCGCCCCTGTCTCGCAGCAATAACCGCTGCTGTCCTCAGGCTCGCCAGGACACCCAGGGGGCGGAGGGGCGAGCGCGTGCGGGGCGACCGAGGGCGCGGGCTGCAGTAGCAGGCATGCCCCGTCGCGGTAGCAATACTCGTGCAGCTGGTGGCTGAGGAACTCCACCTCGGCCTGCTCGTCTGCCAGCAGCTCATCGCCGTCCTCCAGAGGGTCCCGGGAGGACTGGTCGGTAAAGAAATCTTCCTCGTCAAAGTAAGCGGACGGGAAGGCGTCCAGGGCCCCGGGGAAATGCTCCAACAGCACTGCGTCCATGCTGTTCGTGGCCGCGGGCCAGGGGGCCGGCAGGATTGCCTAGAGTGAGGCTTTGTAAGTGCTGGGTTGCCGTGCTCTCTGGTCCGGCTGCCCCTCCTTCTGGGCCCTGCGCTGGGGGCGCGCGGCAGCAGCCCGACTGCCCGCCCCCGGGCC